CATAGATTCTATTCCTTGCATAGTGTCTCCCAAACACTATCAACAAGCGCCCTATCCACCAGGCCCAGCAACGACAGCAAAGCCGCTAAGATGAAATTGGGCTTTTTCGAGGACGGATACATCCGCCTCATGCTATCTACGTTGGCAACTTGCCCACAGAGAGAACAGGAGCGCCTCATCGTACAACACAGACCTGAACTCAGGAATCTATTCGCAGTGTTTCCGTCAGATAGATGAAAACTACAGCAGAAAAACGCAGACAAGGAGATGTGTGACTTGGTATTCTTCAACACTGACAACATATTAGGTTGGAAGGAAAGTCCTGCGACACGTCTCACACGAGGAGGGATATCGCTCCCGATGCACTGAATGTTCCGTACAGGATCTCTCGTGGAATAAAATAGACTACTCAGCCACGTCCACTCAAATGAGGGACACCTCCTCTTTTCATCGTACTTGCCGTGGTTCTATAATGAAGTGGGAATGAAACGCTGTTCAAAAGTGCACTGGTGCACTAGCCCTAGTCATGGTAGTGGTGATCACCTTGTAGATTGGAAGTCTCTCTGGAGAAGGAAACTTTTATCCGAATATGTGGTCAAAGCGCCGCAGGACTTCCTTTTCAACCTGAGAGAATGGTTGCAGCAATGGTACACCAACTATGTGATCAATCGCAATCACTACTTATACTGATAATAATAATGCTAAATTTTGCCATATTTTTCCACAGTGGCTTCTAGCCTCCTTTGTGGAGTTCATGGGACAAGGATAAAAAAATAGAGCATCGTACAACCGTTGATGACATTCTTCCTAGTGCAGGCTGGCGCGATGCAAGTGGCCTATCGACCCTTCAGATCTAACGGCAGGTAATGAAGGGCAACAGAACTAACTGGTATTTAGCGAAGGGCAAAACGTAAAAGCAATGAAATCATTCAGAACAATAATCAAGCTTTTCCTCGAGCCCAATACTTGCTCCCTTATTAGGAAAACTGTGAGAAGCCTGCTCATCAGAAAAAGTAAAGATCAAGACAGAAACCTTTCTACACTCAACTTCAATCAAAAAAACCACATCAATAAGGAATCCGGAAAAATGGGCAACACCTGAGTCCATTGAGAAAAGAAAACAGTGAACACTTTAAAGCCAAAAATTTCCCTTCGAATAGTTCCAATGGAAAAAAGGCCAACCTTGACAGGTTCGACTTCCTGCCGCAGATCCATCGCTATCCACGGTGCCAAACGCATTTCTTCTTTCATCAGCGGCAGCAACATGGACGAGATGATTGAACTCATTGCAATAGTCATGAAAAACCTGAAAGAACAAATAGAGCACACGCTTAGCAGAGCACGAAACCGGTAGATCACTAGAAACTGACAGTACTGTTTGACTGGAAATGAAGAGAAAACAAGCTAAGTAATGACTTCAAAGTTCGGGCCAGATTTTGACTGCAGTTTGTACACAGGGGTGAAGTTCCCTATAAACTTGTGCTCAGAGATTTGACACTCTGAACAGAAGGTGATATGTTCTTGCTCGCACATTATTCAAAACACCTCAGGTCCCAAAATTCGCTGCAAACCCGTTTGACCCCAGAATATGAACGTCACATCCGCCTAATTTGAAGAAGAATAGACATGTAGAAAAACTACGACGAAAACAACGGTTCGTTTTGTCCCTCAGGGCGAAAATGTCTGACACCGGCTCCAAAAACTAAGTACCGCCAGCGTCAAGCTCGTTCTCTAGCGCGGACATTACGATAACTCCTCAACCAGTACGAACCAAAGCACTAAGGGGAGAGATTCTAGCCAGAAGACGGCGCGAATTCCAAAAAGTGGAATTTTAAAAATATAACAAAAACTTACGGGTCTTTATCGAGACAAAGTTTGCTGGTAGCTCTCGCAATCCACTGTGCAACATTACTGAAACGAATGAAAATCGATTAGAATTACTAAGAACAGCATTAGGCGCACTCTAAGTAGTTGGGGGGCTATGCCGCCTTGGGGGCCGCAAGGAACTGGTCGTCTGCGGTCTTCTAAGCCTACCTTTTTGCTGAGGTAGTGATCCGCTCCTCCTCCTGAGGACGAGTGGGTCACTTTCGGTGAAAGGAAGAGCGCAGACGATAGACACGCTGTTATCACCCAACCGTTGAGGCTTTGCCCCTCTCGGCTATGACGGTATTTTTGCCTTTCTATAGTTTTTTGAGCATAAACTACAAAAAAAAATCCTTTTTACGGATTTGTTTGGCGCCTTTAGTACATGCAAGCAGGTACTAGTCCTGACACGATTGGAAGAACTCACGCGAACACTTCGCTAGCATCATTTCCCAACTTGGCGACGCTGGCGAATCTGTCCAAAGCGTTTTCGAGTAGTACTCCCTGCCGAACGAAACCATGAATTGAACTGAGTGTACGCATCCATTCATATTCATAAAAAAATCATATCATTTATTATTATCATATCATTTATTCATAAAATTTTATCAACAAAAATGAGTACTACCTTTCTGATGGTTTCATAGGCAGTAGCGCAGGCATCATAGTCCCCGACGGGAACGTGTTGTACGACTTTAGGCCTTTTTTCAAATCTTGCATAGATATTCATTCTGCCCGCAACAACAGTGACCTCCTCGAGGAACCACGTAGCGAATTCGCTGAAAGAGCGATATTATCGAAGGGCTTTTGACTCGGAAATCAGAAATAAATATAAATAAATAAGAAATGAATCTGATACCTAAGTGTGTTGATTATTCGTTCATCGGGGACGGAACAAACAACAGCCCATCGCATTCGCAAGGCATCATCCTCGTCGCCGTACTACATAACTGAAAAATCGACTGACTCAAAGGCACGTTCCATGCTCAAATAGGGTGATTTGTACGCTCGCTTACAAATGACAACACGGTAAATAACACAAAAATTGAGAAAGATGAAAAAACGGGCTCATGCGCCGTGTAGAACGATGGCCTGAGTCACGCGTATATGGACATAAGGTAAACTACAGACTTGCACTTGAGCATCCGGCGTGGGTCCCGGCACGATTACCCTGAAGAGGCTGCGGTCCCACAACCGCGAAGTTTGAAAGCGGTCGTATCTTCCATAATCGAAGATCAGGCGCACCTGACGAAGCTCAAAGGAAGCAAAACAGATGTTTCAATTTGAATCGCTTTACATGACTTGCACAGTGCTCGTTGTTATAATGTATACATCACCCATTCAAGAGCGAAAACCCTTTTGGTCTCCATTGTGTGTAATCTTTTTTTCAGATGTCAATCACTGTAAGGAATGTAGAAAGTCTCGCCGTACTCAACCAACTTGATGGGTCACATCCAAAAGCTGGCCACAGTGCTTCACCAGAACGGTTCCACTGATACAACCGGGAATGATTTGAAACACCAGATCCATTTCCCTGTCGCCGTTTCCTCCCCACCTCTGTACAGTCTTGTCCACCTGCCAACTTTTCCAAGCTTCCCGCTTTATCGAAATTTCCCCCAAAACTTCTCCACTTCTCCAGTTCAAAATTTTGTCGTCCATGTCCAGCGAAGTGGGTGGGTGAGTAAATAGCATGGGAGAAACGAGAAAAACCACGAAACGTGAACAGAGAACGCGTCCTATTTCCCTCCGAGGCGAGTACGACCTTCCTCTCCCAATGACGGCCAACTTAGACCCCTCCCCACCACCACTGGGTGGTTCCCAGTGTAGGACTACCAGAGACAAATTGCGCGTTTGCATACAGTGAGTAATGGTATTCAACAAAGAACATATAGTCGCTAAGTGACTCCACAGGGACGCAAAAAAAAGCCGAAAAAAGCGAAGAACACCATTAGGATTTCCTGGGTGCCAGACCGGACGAGAACAGTACCTCCAATAACATCAATTCACAAATAAAAAGAAAAAGAAAAGACGAACCTTTTCGAGACGTCGGCTTCTTTTTCCTGTGGCTTAGGCCATGAATCTGAAACACGTACCTAATTGAATAAGCAAAAATGGTAGCGAAAAAAAAATTGGAAACAAACGAAAAACGAAGAAGCAGAGCAAACCGATTGCAAACAATTCAACGCACACGCGATTATTGATCAAAATGGATGGCAAAGGGGAATGGAAGAGGTGAACAAAACAGGTGAACAAAACAAAACGAAATAATAAGCGAAAAAACCTCAAAACAGTGAAAAGCACAAGACAGCCATCAGCTGTTCGGCGCAATAATTCCGACGACTTGCCAAGCAACGCAAGCTCGAAGTTCAGCGTGCACTCTCGGTGCGTCGTCACATTGGGCATGGGCCTTCGCGGGTTGCCATGGGCCTAAGGGGTGCCAATGGGCCTATTTGCCCAGCTTCTACGGGAAAACCTGCTTTTTTTGACTTTTTAGGTGTGCCACAGCCCCTGCAGTCGCCTGGGAGACCATTTGGCACATTTTAAAGCGTATGGCCTTAGTTTATCGCGGAAAGTGCCTTTAAGCACTGACAGCGTCGGTAAGTCAGAAAAATGCCCTAACGATAGGGCACAGCGTCGTTGTGCGAAACCCATCGGGGAGGGGGGAGGTCATACTTCCGCCCGGAGGAGTGGGGGAGGGGGTCGTAAACGCAGGGTCGGTGAGCACCGAAGCAGCACAAAAGTGTCATCGCTAAGTTTGATGGAGCGGACGGAAAGCTGCAGAGGACCGGATGTAAGGAAGACTACAAAATATTAAAACAATTGATTAGCAATATCAATAGTTAGCACGTACGTAGATGACTAATTAGTAAATGTCAAACAATTTCGTGCGTGTCGACCTTTCCAAACCCTAAACAAACATCTGCTTGCATGGACAAAATCACCTAACTCAGAAGTTACACTTTACCACCA